AAGGCCGTTATATCGATCCATTTAGGGCCCAAGTCCCGTTTAATAAAATTGTCAATTGCCGGACATCCTGAAGCATGAGACGACGAAATGGAAGTAAAATTCGAGATAGAGTTACCCATCTTGATCTGAACACAAAAATTGCCACGAACACGTTCCAAATAAATATACCATTTACATCACATGATATTAATAGTGACCAGTAAAAATATGAGCCATCTATACCCACAGTCACGTGATAAAACAAACCATCAATTTTCGATGTTTTTACTCTTTTCGACAATCAAAAATCTGAATGATAGAAGTATGATTAGTAAAAAACCCGCAATAAAGCGGGTTGCTCTTACTGATGTTCAAAAAAAAGATTTGTTCTAAAAAAAAAGCTCAACCTAACTGGACTCAAGCGGATGGCACTTGTGGCCTCTGCCAATTACACGAACTTCACAAGGCCATCCTTCAACAGACTCAATATTTCTATACCAATAGACAAGAACTTTGCGTATACAATTTCCTTATGAAACATCCTTGTCTAAAATGTTCATCAAACATAGGTTAACTATACTGCTCGCTTACATAACAATAATATTTTCCCCTTGACAAGCATATGCCGCATTTATGACTGACGAATAGAACAAATTCATATAGTTAATTATTTGGTTCAATAATGTACTCGATCTTTTCTTAAATACTTTACTCGCCAATAGTAAAAATCTTAAATCGATCGACTATATCAACACGTTTTTTATTTCAATAAAACTCGTTTAATATTAAGGCTGTTTTATTCAAAATTTTGAGTCACTAAATGATAAGACAATGGACGAGCTTAATATTGTAAACTGACTTTCAACACGTAACAAATAGCTGTCGTTCGTACCCGCAACTGAATCAATCATAACTGTTTCTCGGTTTTGGGCAAATGTCCAGTAGGTAAGAGCTTACTAGAGTATTTACTCTCCTTTTCGAGACGTGATAAAGGCTTTACATCATTACAATAAACGGCATTCCACGTGTTGTCGTCAGAATCGTCCATTTCAGTAAACTCGTAAATATAATACCAAATCGTCTCTACATCTGGACGCTTATCAGGATCAGCAACACAACACCGCTCGGCAAGTCTCTTGTATTCCTCTGGTGCGGAATCAGGCATCGATGGTCGTAGTCCATCCATAATCTCGCGTATTAAACTTGTATCAAACACCCTATCTCTAAAAGGTGGTTCCCCAGTAGCAACCAAATGCATAATGATACCAAAAGAATACACATCTGATTTCTGAGTAAATTTGCAGGTATGGAAGACTTCCGGTGCAATAAAGGGTAAAACGCCTCGAATGGTTGAATTTGACTCGCGTGAATTCACTGATCGTGAGAGACCAAGATCGCATATCAATGGTTTCGTATTATGCAAAACAATGTTCCCGCCATGGAGATCACAATGCACTAATCCCATCTTGTGAATATTATGCAGACAAAGTGAAATATCCCACAAACACAATAATTTATCCATCCACGTCAATTTGTTAACATTTTGATCCAAATAAGACAAAAGACTACCATTGCTAGCATATTGCATAACAATCATGTACTCTTTTGTTTCTGGTTCTTGTGTGACTCCATAAATTTTAAGGAAAGTACTTGTTGAACACTTGGCATGGTTTCTGAACTAATAAATACAGAGTCAGATTAAATATCGCTTTAATTAGTAACATCAACAATTGCTTACCTCGGAAATAAATAATTCCGACATTTCATCAAAACTCTTAAACCGTTTGAGTACAACAGTTTGTTGCACATCTGCATGCACTAGCCAATTATATCCATTATATCTGGCAGTATAAACTGTTCCATGACCACCAGATCCGATCTCTTCGAGTTCGTCAAAGTCGCTATACTGCATGTACTTTACACGTTTATGATTTCGTGTAAACCTGTCCAATAGTGCATGTATGCCGTGATAGAAGACTAAGTAATATTCCCGAGTAGATGGCACCTGAGTGATCCCAATTATCCAAATATTGTCGGGCGTTAATATCTCCGGGTATTCCTTAGTTAGCTATTTGAGTAAACAAAATATAGTCGTTACAACAATAATCTGCTTGATACACACGTTAATAATATTATTTGCATAGTTTATGCGCGAGATAATTTACCTGATAAAAATCAAATAACTGATCGTTTTGTTCATCAACTATCCGTTTGAGTGTCACTCTCGTCGGTTCATCCGCTGTCTGCTCTAACCAATCTGCTACATGTGTGCATCCATGGCGTAATGATGTCATTTCTCGTACGTCTGTCAATAGGGAATACTCTATCCATTGTATATAAGCATCATATTTACTCTTCACATTACTCCACGACTTTATAATTAATGAATCCAAAGACTTATTGCCCGTAGTCCAATCTCGTAGTCTTGGCGCTTTACAGTTGAAACAGAATGCATTTATCGTAGGTTCTAATCGACGTATACATGCCAGACATAATCCATCATCAGCTTTTATGAGACAATACTTCTGTTTGCTTGCATCATATGTAAACCCGATGGTAAACCAAACATCCATGGTAAGAATATCTGGATGCTCATCACATAACTAGTGGAAGTTATACATAAGTCAATATTCATCTGAACAATGGATAAACATATTATATTCGTACTTTATAGTCACCTTGTCATAATATGAATCATCCATCTCATCTGTTATTTCAAGTGGAATCAATTTAAGATATGTCGAAGGTAGTCCATAAAAGTATGAGCCATACTTCCGCCTCATATTACTATAATTAATACAATTGTATGGAATCCATTCCAAATAGACATCATTTGCAGAGTTTGTTTGTAATTGAGATTTCTTAATAAAGTCATCGAGCTGCTTATTGTTGCTAGTCCATCCATCGGATAATTGTTTATGTCCGCAAACGCACCACACAGGACTACGTCGGAGTATTCCACATGCAGTGCAGAATCCATATTGAGAATAATAACCGTAAAAGAATTCATCAGCAACCATGTAATAATTATCTTTGTACTTGGTGAATCCGATTATAAGGTTGTTGCGACTCACAAGCCATTTCTTATATCGTCTAAATTGACTGACATCATTATTGTACTTGTGTGTTGGAAGTGAGTATATTCTAGCAACTTCACTTATAAGAGTTGTTGTACATATTTCCTCGCTTCCAAGTAATAGCAACATTATCTTGCCATCATATGTGCAACTAGCGTAATAGATAGCGTCTGTTGGAGTTGGCTTAATATCAGTGATTTCAGAACAAGGAATCCATTTCAGCCATAATTGTTTATTTTCACTTTCCAAGGAGGACTGAATCAAGTCGTCAACTGCTGGATTATGCATATACTTTGACTCCTGGACAAGTGAAGAAGTGAGAGAATACTTCAACGCTAGTTGTGTTACATTGCACATTTCCCGTTGCACATGTGTTTCATAACTCATATAATAGGTAAGCTTGAATTAATTAAGATGGACAAAATCTGTCCCGCGCGTAAACGTATAAACACAAGTCGTTTTTAAGTGGGGTTTTCGAATTATTCTCAAGAGTTCCAACAAAAAGTTTGGGTATCAAAAGATGCACACTAATTATAATTTGGAAAAGGTTCAAACTGATCTGGTGATGTATTAACATCCTGTTCTTGCAATATATTATCAGCGTCGCGTCTGCGGACTTCGCCGTGTTAACTAATAGTGAAAGCTAACAATTTGACAAGTTTGAGCTACAACAGCTTGATAATAATGAAAATTATATGACTGGATTACATAAAATTCTTACCCAGTTTTGCAGAATAGTTGTCCTGGTCAAGCAAGCGACTACAATTCTTTTTATCCATTTTGTAATTTTTTTTCGCATAGTAATAGCCTTTTCCTTATTGCCAAACTCGTTCCTGATTTGATAGATGAAGAAACTGTTTGATTAGATAGTGGAGTTCTCATTGGTGCGTTTTAAAGCAAGATTAAAAGCCAAAAAAAGTAAATATTTATAAGAGAAAGTGATGTCAAACCCTGTTGACTAATTTAGAAGATAAGACAGCAACTTAAAAAGCTTTGTGTTTTGAGGTGTTTGGATGTGCTCTTCTTGTTGTTTTGTCTGTTGCTATCTCCATCTATTATTCCATTGTATTTTGGAACAACAAAAACGCGATTGTTTACATGATTTCCATATTTATTATTATACATGTTTGAACCATCCCATTATTAATATTGGCTCGTCAAAGTCATTGTACAAAGCTCGAGGGCCTTTTGCAATCAGCAGCTGAACCGTCGTTACCAAGCGAAAAGCGACTGCACTATTTGTCAGGACCGAACCCAAGATCATTACCAAGCAAAAGGCGCCTGCGTTATTTGTTCTTCGTGAGACAGATGGGTTTGTATAAATTTATAGTATGTTATGAGCTTTTTTATATTAGAAAAACTGATTATAGACTATAAATTGTTCTTTTATTCTTTGACTTTGATAAGGTAGATGGGAAATACTATCGTATACACCGGGAGTCAACAACAGAAACCAAATTTCCATAGAACTCGCAGACGACGATCAGACAATCAATTTTGCGGCTGAGAACAAAGATCGAAGAGAATCTTTATTCAGCAATTTACCAAATACGTTTGAAGCAGAAGTTACTCTCCCGAAAAGTATGCATGGTATATCGTCTGATGTGTGTATCTTCGAAACCAAGTTGATCAGAACTTGATGTTGTTATGAAGGCTTTCGGTACATATACAGTACATGGATTAAACCCTAGTTTGGAATATATCAAAAATGGTTGATGGACTCATCAATATTACAGGCTACAAACAGTCTGTATCTGTTATATTGACTTTTCACAGTATATTAACTGAATGGCCAAGTCATGATGAAGAACTGTGGCATTATTGAATAATTTTCTTCTTTGGGCTTGGCACTATTGCCCAAAAAAACTTTGTTAGCTTTGAAAGTGCACTTCATGCCGCAGCAATTCGCCATAATAAAGGTAGAGACCCCACAGAGTGAGAAGAATGGGGTATAAAGTTGATGTGTGCATCAAGCTGCTTGGTCTTCACTGGCAACCTGATGTTGGATGTGGTGAAGTGTCAGGTGGCCTTCCAAAGTGCACACGTGCTAAAGAGTGGATGGACACTCTCAAACTTGGGTGGGAGCTACGTGATATATGGGTTCTGGCTCAAGACATGCTGAAGGAGGTTAATGCAAGTGTACATAATCAGACATCTGCTGGTGCATTTGCCCCCATGATGGTATGCTATAATTATTACGTATCTTTTTTAGTACACTATTAAACGATTAACATATTTCTATTTAGTATGAATTTGGCACGGTCATAGCTGAGGCCCCAGTAGAATCGGTGCTGGGAGAAGAGATTGGAAAAAAGACTGGGTCAATATATGATCCACACTAATATATCTATCTCTGACTGATGCAACCAATTTTGGCCACTTTAAACAAAAATGAAGATGAAAACCCTTTCCTCGATCCCCAACTTATGGCCGCTGATAACATACCTTACTGTTACAGTTGAATTGCGTTTAGTCTATTTGAGATATGAAACACCACTGTCCTCAAACCATGGAATTCTGGCATTGCCACCATCAGTCACAATGTGTCCTCAAGGATAAGTTTCATCTGGACACCTCGATTCACTCAGATAAAGGGAAAGCTGTTCTTTATATTCGCGCTACTTCGATGGGGGCCTTCGACTCTATTGTCCGCCCTCATGAAAATGAGAGTATGCTTTGCAACCATGAAAATTTATCGAAGGCACTTCTCCAAAGCCAATAGTATCTATTCTTTGTCATGTACAGTATTTCAATTTAGTCGGACACAAGCTCTGCGCTTTCGTTTGACAACCTACTTTTTTCGTAAAAAGACTAAACTTTATTTGCCATTGTAACCATCATTCTGCGATTTTGATTTTATATAAAATAAATAAGACTAAGACTAAGACTGGGTACTCGTATTCTTTTAACGTATTTTATTTGTCTGAAAAAAAATTAATACAATGAGCGAAGAAAATTACTCGCTCCCTGTACCGTTTTGAAGGTTTTCTTGTATAATTTATTTGCGCAGAAATTAATTTTGCGAGCGCACCATCTTCAATAATGTGAACATGATTATATACCCAGTTTCTTTACTTACTATTACGTAAAATTTAATTCTGTGTTTGCAAAATAAAAATGAGTGTTGTTATTTGTGTACTTTAACTATTCTATATTATATACTGTATTCAATTTTTAATTTAATTAAAGAAGAGAAAGAATTGGTAACGTTCTTTATTATTTATCACTTTACTTCATGTGAAAGTATTGTCTGATTTAAAATAACTGTATTGTATAAGCTGTACAGGCAATCAACTTGTTTCAAAAGTCCAATCCGCCTTTCTTGCCTTTATGTTGTTTAATTAACTATTAGCTTGACTTAAGATAATTGTTCTTTTAAAGGTTTTGCATACTAGATATTAATATTGTTCACTTCGACTAATTAACGAACAAAATTTTTTTCGATTAAATTTTATTCGCTGACAGCATTTTTCCATAAACTTTTGTATGCATTATCACAATACTTTTGGCTGCACAAGTTTAAATTCTTGTGCGCATGTGCTGTTACTATGTTAGTACATATTTAATATCCACAAGCAAAAAATCCTAATAATCGTAGAAAAAAGAAAGCCCAAACACGGCGACGATCTCTGTCATAATTAACACTAAAGATGTCGTCAATAAGATGGTTCAAGCTTTCCCCCTTCACTAAGCTCGCTGTGCTCTTGTCTCTTGTCTCTTGTCAAAGAGAAAACGTATAAAGGACATTGACATCTACGTTCTTATATTTAGCCGCATTTCTCCGTAACCACCTTCTGTCTTACCACAACTTACTTCGCATATCTGAACGTTTTATTTTCGTCCCTTTCTCTTCAATACTCTGCCAAAACATCTTCCCCACAGAGAAAGAGAAGAGAATCGAATTGGTGTCAGAGTTATCCGAGGAAGATTACATTGATACTTACGACGGGGATAACGGGAGTGAAATGTACTATGAATCGGGTAAAGAACGGAACGGGAATGAGAGAGAGAACGTCCGGAGATGTGTGTATGGTTGTGTGTATAGGCTATGTTGTTTCGCATTTAGAATAAACATACTGTGATTGCCAAGGTTAGTATAGAAACCAGCCTCCGGTTCTCGTATTAGTATGCATACTAATCACACCTAAATACTGAAGATATTGCATAATTACGAAATATCAATGTCTTCACTCATTAACACTGCATACTCGGCTTTTCTCTTTACCAAACACTACAATAACGAATAACATAAGAAATATTGACGATCCCGACGACGATCTAAACTTTGAAGTCGTGGTGGCCGAGAAAGATCGCAAAAAGCTTTATGAAGTCGACTTTAAAGTACACTTTATCGAAGCATCGTCAAAAACAAGTGACTCACGTGGCAAACATACTTGGCATTCTAAAAGAGCACGCTGCATCACTACTTCGTCATTTCAGATGGAATAAAGAGCGACTTATCGAACGCTATATGGACGATTTACAAGATGTATTGCGGAAAGCGGGCGTGATACTGAGAATTCTAGGGCGACGAGGATCAGCAGAATGCCTGGATTTGTGTGCGAGATTTGCTGGCTGTGATGATGATGATGATAATATGCTTACGTTAGCATTATCGTGTGGACATAGGTCTTGCCGTAATTGTTACGAGACTTATTGTAAGCCCGGAAATACACGAAAGGTAAGAGCGATAGAATGCTATGGAAGGGAAATTGTCGTTGGGGTATCGGCTATACAATATGAAGTAATTTAACTACAAATCTAACGTGAGTTCGTCTTGCATGTTAGAAGCCAACTTCATTCCTATATATTCCCACATTTATTATGTTGCATGTTACTTGGACTGTTGTTTAATACACTAATTCGTTCTCTCGATTTTTGATCCCAACAGATATCGAATACTATCAAACAGGACATACGAAGGAATTCTTGTTGCAGACCATCAAGGATCTGTCTTGAGAGACTCCTTTGGACAAGGGGTTGATGACTACTTGTTTAAGAGAACTTGGCAGATGGAATGGTACCATACTGCAAGGACCACAGCACCAAAAAAATCGACAGTTGGACATATCTTTGGTTCAGATGGATTATGTTGATGGTGATTTTGGTTGGGGGACCATGTAAAGTGATTTGAACAAGGTGGTGAATATGAAGTAAGCCCAATGAATGATTGGGCCAACACTGATACAACTAAGCGGACCCGTACCAAAACATCACCCGCCGCAAATAAACGACGACAAACTCGCTCTCAAACTCCGATTTCAGTAACACAAATACCTGCTTTGTTGTTGAACAATATGTCGGACACTGTTGAAGAATCATGATTATTACAGTCCATGCATACGGTACCCATAAAACAAATACACAGTGAAAGTCGATATAACGGATTTTGCCTTATACGGACTTTTTTGCTGGGACGGAATTTTTACTAAGTATTATATAGCGGACTTTTATTTTAAACAGTGATATAACGGATCCGGACTAATTTGCCCGAACACAATTAATTTAGCTTATTATTATCTCGATATACCGGATTTCGTGTAATGAAGTCCGTATTAAATATAAGAATAAGATTCTTTTCCCATTTTCTGCTACACGTATCTCAAACTTAACATAATGTCGACTTATGGTCCTATCAACCAGCTTTAGCAGTTTATCTGTAGTTGGACAATAAAGTCTTACATTAACGACTTATGGTCCTATCAATTTAAATAAAAAAAAAAATGCTTCTCAGCAAAGTGATGTAAAAAAAACGAACTCGCGTTACCTTACAGCATTACAGGAAAAAGAACTAGTGAACGTATGAGAGCTAATCCTGTACTCAAGCAAAAAAGTATGGTAAAAAAGTATTAAATATCAAAACAGGCAGTCTCAGATATTTTGAAACAAGAAAAAACGTGGTTAACAAGAGAGATTAAGAAAGAAAATTGTTATGAAACGCATTGAACGATGGAGGCAGACAAATATTGACGAGTTTTTAACATTCAAGTCTTAAATTGAATTTATCGTTAGGTATTATTATTATGTCACACATGTTATAACCGTGAATAATAATAGATATTAATATTAAAGGCCGTCGTTATAACGGATTTTTTGCAAGTTTAGTTAAGAGTCCGGTATAAAACTCACTGTTCGATGTAACGGACCGTCGATATAGCGGACAAAAGTGCTGGTCCCGAGCAGTCCGTTATATCGACTTTCACTGTGTATATCTTAATATGTGAAATCACTAAGACTGATATATTGGACAGGGCGCAAATTGGGGAAAGCGCGTTTTTTTATTTGTTTAGAAAATCACCTGTAGATCGGTAGGAAATAACAAATCCCTTTACTACCATAAAGGTGAATTGTCAGACGATTTGTATATCATACTATAATTCGGATAGGATTGTGTTAAAGTAGCACGAAGTGGAAAATTATAGTGTATTAGTATGTGCGGAAATTTTTCCAATAAAATCGATATAGCATTCAATGTTCGTATTTACTTTGCAGTTGATTACGATAATGGTTCTATCCCTATAGAGGAGGAAGATCCTAATTTCTCTGTTCATGTAGATCAAAGACTTTGGTCACTATTATTTCCACTCAAATTACACAGCCACTCTTGATAACGATAATATAAAAACCTTTTGTGATATGTCAACTCCACAAAATTTTTCCAAGTTTTTTGTGACATAAAATGTTGCAATTTAAAAACATTATATCATGAATTGATAATTGTCATCATTATATCAAGCACATTTTTTATTATAACTGACTTGGTTCCAGAAAAGAACATCTCTTGGGCCAACTTTATCTTATCAGAGATTATTGCACAGCTCCCCTTCCATTAACGCTACCCACTAGTTCCATATAAGCAGAAAACTGGTCAATTTTTAAATTTTGTTCACATACAAATTCGAGGACAAGGAAAATGTTTTGACTGTGTGTTTGTGTCCAACTTAATTTTACAACGAACAAAACTTCAGCCTGTCACCAGAAATGGCGCACGGTATTGGAAACAAGTTGAAAACGCTCTTAGAACGTTTGAACTGGATGAATTATGATGGTAATATAGAAGCAATAGTTTCAGAAGTCAGTGATCTAACTTAAAATACAAGAAAAAGAGTACGAGATGAAATTTTACTAGTAAAACATATGAAAACTCTTTATTTTCGAAAATCTCTATTGTCCATACGTACTATGTAACCCACAATGATTTTGGTACCATTTTGAAGCTAATTGACTGTCTTTTTCAAAAAAAATTGTGTGAAATTTAAATTAGTTACTGTAATGAAGCAGTAGTTCGATGAAGTGACGGCACTATGTTATACATATGATTTCATATGTGTAACATAATTTCGCCACTTCCTCGAACTACAGTTTTGAAACGACAACAGGACTGAGTATATCATAACTTTTTCTGAAAAATACAATCAATTAGCTTCAAAACAGTACCAAAATCATTGTGGATTACATAGTACGTATGGACAATAGAGATTTTCAAAAATAAAGAGTTTTCATATGTTTTACTAGTAAAATTTCGTCTCGTACTTATACTTTTGTCAGGGGGGTGTAGTCGTGAATTAAAAATTTTTATTTTTTTTCATCAACTCAATCTGCCTCTTTCCGACTGAGTAATAATTATCTCAAACTTGATTAAACCTAAACAAATTGCGCAAGTTTTAGCTAATTGAACTTTACCCTTTTAATTGTTTTTTATTAATTAAACAAATACAGAGTAACTGACAACGTACTTGCAATGAATGGGTGACTTGACTGTATTTGTAATTCTAAATAGCGCGTGTGAATTGACGTAATGGTAAATGTGAGGAAGAGTTCTACTACCTTTATAAGATAGAATGCAAATACGCCCTTAATTTAAATTATAATGAGATTAATAGTGAAAGAACGAAGAATTTAGCAAAAAGTCTTCTACTTTAACTTTATTCGTAAAACAATAGAGCTTGGAAAATATTGCCACGTTGACGTTGAATTTTGGTTACCGTAAATACGGTTTGGATGTCTGACAAATAAACCGGGTTACAAATTCTAATTAATCGCCCAAGTTGGCTTATCAATAGCATATTCCCCCAAAATGGGTATATATAGGCGGGTTACGATGGACTTTAATTTGTATTAGGTCTCCTACATAATGACATACAACAGTCAATCAATTAGGGAAACTATTAGTAGCCAGTTTGTTACTTCTATTCGTTCTGGCGGTCAAACAGGCGTAGATCGAGCAGCTCTCGATGCAGCTCTGCAGTTTAATAATATTAAAGTTACGGGCTGGTGCCCGCAGGGACGGTTAGCGGAAGATGGCCAGATTTTGCCAAAATACCCATTGAAGGAAACGAGCACCAAGGAATACACCGAAAGAACTGAACTAAATGTTCGGGACGCAGACGCCACTCTTGTGCTACTCTTTTCTACTTCCGATCCAAACCAGGATGGAACCGCATTTACGCTTAGAAAGGCTGACCAATTACGAAAACCGAATATTTGTATTTTGATTGATGAGGAAACTAACGTCGACCGCGTTTGTAATTGGGTAAGGGAAAATAAAGTCAAGACACTCAATATAGCTGGTCCAAGAGAAAGCAGTTGTCCTGGAATATATGCCAAAGCATACAAGTTTATAACGGATTTTTTGGTTCACTTAAGTCTCTCCTAGCATGGAAATTGCAAGCTTTTAGTCAATAGACATGTATCAATGAGTATCGGATATATAATATAGGGATGGCAGTAAAACAATGCACAGCGTTATTGCTTGCAGCAGTTTCAAAAAATAAAGATTACGATCAGTACTCTATGCTGAACTTTTGCAATGTCGGATAGTGTAAGTGTCTTGGAAGGGATGAAGCTCCCCCAAAATTGGAGATCAATGTTTAAATGAAGAAATTGTGGAAAATGTTACTCGTTTATTATTTATATCTGTAGAGTGGCCTATTTTATGCGTTTCATTTTTTTTTTCTCATTTAATAATGTGCTACTCTACATCGTATCTAACAAGCTAAAAAATAATTACAAAAAATATATCATAGAAAGAAGAATCAGAAATTACAAGAAAAAAGAAAATAAATATTAAAGACTTTAAATTATGCTATTCGATACAAATGTAATTATGATTTTCATTAATAGTTACACTATGCCATGCTGATGATGCGTCTATGATTTAGATGAATCGCTTTTAGCAGATGCAGAAGGAATGGGAATACTGCTTACACTAGGCCTCTTCACAAACGGACGTTCACTTCCGCGTCGATATGGGCTAAACGCCTGCTGCGTTGATGAATCAGCAACATTCGTGTCACCGGTAGACTCGATAGCAGGACCATTACCAGCGGCGGCAGCGGCGGTTTTATTATTTGTTTGTTGTTGATTGGACATTCCCTCCGAAAGGCTTTTCGCTCTTCCACGACTCACTGGCAGCTGCGACTTGGGATATAACTGTTGCGGCGACATGGGATTTTCTTCTTTCTGCTCCGAATTTGAACCTGGTACTTGAGGTGGTATCTGAGATTTATCGCGACGAGGGAATTGAAGATGTTCAGTTGATTGTTGTTGCAAGAGCAAAAGTGGGCGCAGTTGAAGTTGGGGACGTGGTGGTTCTTGCCACAATTGAAGTAGTTGCTGCCTCCTGAGCAGTCTTTCTTGCATTTTCTTTTCATAAGCTAGTTGCTCCGGGGATTTCTTTTCTGAATGATCATCCGATGAGTTGCTCGGTTTAGCCATGAGTTTTTCTTGAAGCTTTTCTTGATGTCTCTGGAATTGCAGGGCCGGTCTAAAGTCCATAAATGACGAGGATATCCTCCGCTGTGACTTTGTCTCTGTTTTGATGTTCTTCTGCTTGAAATTATTAATAGCTTCAATTAACTTGTCGTCTTCAATTATTACGCTTGACTTTTTATCGTTTCTGGCTATTTGCGACGTGTCATTATTAATAGTCTCGCTTGACTGTTTATTCTCAAAGGCTTCGTCTGACTTATTCTCAAAGGCTTCGTCTGACTTATCCTCAAAGGCTTCGTCCGACTTATTCTCAAAGGCTTCGTCCGACTTATTCTCAAAGACTTCGTCCGACTTATTCTCAAAGGCTTCGTGCAACTTGCTCTCGTTAATGGCGTCGCTCGATTTGTCTTCACTAACAAGTTCGTCCGACTTGCTATCTTTCATGGTTTCGCTTGAGACGTCATCTTCAATGACGTTTGACTTGTCATTCTTTATTGCTTCGTTCGATTTGTCGTCGGTATGCACCTCTTCTTCTGGTTGTCCTTGCGGTTGATCGTCTGTATTGTCGACTGTTACGTTCTCGTTCGCCTTCGCCGACTTCTTATCCATTTCCCTTTGCAATTGTTCGTTCAAACTTCGTTGCAGCTTTTCTTGAGCATCTTTTATGGAAAACTCTGGTTTTCTTTCATTCGATCCCTTGATCTGTCTTTCGTGAAGCTTGTCAGAAGATGAGCTGTGTCGTAGTTCCTGACCCATAGTTTGAAGAACTTCTTGAACTTTGCCTTGAAGCGAATTTTGTAGATTTTGTTCATGTGATCTCTTACGCGCAATATGTTCTTCTTGCATAGTTTTATGCTTCTGGAACTTGGCAAAGAACGGTGACGATGGTGGGAGAGGAAGCGGTGGGGGACCTAGCCGTGCTGGAGTCTCTCGAACAGTGTGAGACGGAGTTGAAAGTTTAGAAGGTGGAAGTGGAAGTGGAGGAGGAGTTGCCTTTGAGGATGGAACAGCGATTTTTGAAGACGTTCTTGAATGTGATGGACTCGATGTCGGTGAGAACGAGCTATTGCGAGAGTGTGCAAGAGGTATCTTCGATGACGGTGAGCTTGGTGTGTTTGAAGATGCAGATATGGGAGTTGGTCGCGTGGTTGTTGGTGGGAGTGGACGTGGAAGCGGTGGAGGAGCAGAACGGAAAGACGACGAACTCTGATTAAAAGTATTCGATAACGAGTTCTTTATTGGCTTTAATGTCGGTGATGTAGAACCTGGAGACGACGTAGAGCGACTATGCAAACTCGAGGACGGAGCTGAGGCCCATTGAGCTCGTAGTGATGAAAAACTAGGACTTGGACTTCGTGTTGAGGACGATACTGTGTTGGCAGTGGATGTGGATGTGGATGTGGATGTGGATGGTACAAACAGAGCCGAGAGTTTGCTGGTCTTTGTAGCAGCAGGAATTAGCGCTGACTCTGTTGGTGATAGAACAGATTCTTTACTTGCTTGTTCTTCAGTTGTTTGCTCCTCAGTTGTTTGCTCCTCAGTTTGCTTCTCAGTTTGATCTTCAACGGCATGCGTATCGATTATCTGTTCCTCGATTATGTCGTCTTCGATAGGCTGTTCAATAGTTTGTTCTTCGACAGACTTTTCTACTGTGGGTTCAAATGCTTCTAATTTCTCAGAATCTCCATCATCTACAGGATTCGTTTCATTAATGACTTCTATCTTGACAATTTCATCTGTAGTTGGTGGAACATCATTATTCTCACATTCATGATGTTCGGTTGTCGTCGAGTCTGAGATTATGTCTGTGCTCTCTGCATCCGCAATGTCTACTGTTATCTCTACTTCTGCAGTCTCTTCCTCTGTACTTTCCGCTTCCGCAACCTCTACTTCTGCCATCTCTTCCTCTGCACTTTCCGCTTCCGCAACCTCTACTGCCATCTCTTCCTCTGCACTTTCCGCTTCCGCTTCCGCAACCTCTACTTCTGCCATCTCTTCCTCTGCACTTTCCGCTTCCGCAACCTCTACTTCTGCCATCTCTTCCTCTGCACTTTCCGCTTCTGCAACCACTACTTCTGTAATCTCTACTTCTACCATCTCGATTTCGGTGCTCTCTACTTCAGCTATCTCCACTTCAACTATCTCCACTTCAACTGTCTCTATTTCGGTGTTTTCTACTTCAGCTATCTCTACTTTGGGGCACTCTACTTCTGCTATCTCTATGTCTGTGATATCTACAGTATCTACTTCTGCGATTTCTACTTCTGCAATCTCCACCTCCGCGATCTCCACCTCCGTCACCTCCACCTCCGCGATCTCTACCTCTGTCGCCTCTACCTCTGTCACCTCTATTTCTGTCGACTCTACCTCTGTTAACTCTACCTCTATAAACTCTGTTTCCTCCACTTCTGCAATTTCCACTTCAATTTCCACTTCTGCAATTTCCACTTCTGTAATCTCTATTTCTGTTACAGCCATTTGGGAAGATTCGCATGCTTTTGACTCATCATTAAACGAGGTCTCCTCACGAGATAATTGGGAAATATATTCATCGAGTACCTCGGTTTCAGCGTTCATAGATAGCGGTTCATCAAATTCAGCGACTATGCCAGACTCTTGCTCGGACTTTGATTGAGTTTCAAATTCGGACAAGTTACCATAAACTTCAGTCTCGGTAGAAGATTCTTGCTCAAAGTTTTGCTGAGATTCGTCGTCAAAGAAAATGTCGTCGTTAGTCTCAATTTCTGCGTCGGATCCTTCTTCAGCTTTTGAATAAGAATCATCTTCAACGTAAATATCATCGTTTGTTTCAGCATCTGAATAGGTAAGAACTTCGACAACTTCGTTATCGAAATTTGAGACAATAATAGCCATTGCTCCTTCATCATGCTCGACTTTTACATATTCGATTTCGACAATATCCTTGTCATCTGATTTGCTCTCAGTTTCAGCTTCCGTCACAATCAAATCTTCTTCTGTCGAAATCGTAATCTGTGGGCTGATTTCGACAAGAGTATCGATAATGCCTTCTGGCTTATCTTCGTCCACAACGTTTGCTACGACATCTGATTCTTGCCAGTTTTTCTCTTCTACATCTTCAACAATCTCGGAAACTGACGTTGCATCCGTCAGAGTGCTAGTGGATGTCCTTTGAGAATTGTACGCAGAACTGACATTTGCGCTTGACGCATTTCCAATGGTATCACTCGGTGTAACCGATCTACTATCATTCGGAGTCAAGACAAAGCTAGGCGTCAAAGGACGTGAAAGACATACAGTTGGTAACTCTGCCAATACAATATTATCGGTCGGAGAAGAACTCAAAACACTATCAGTAATATTCGTTAAATCAGCTGTACTATCTGATTCTTGGACTTCATCTACATGACCCTTGTCCAATTTTGTCGACGAACGTTTAGACTCTTTGTTTGTCATTTGAGAAACGGGCGGTACCGGAACTGGTACGTCGGTCGAACCTGGCCCACGATTACCCGATCCGAAACCAAGCGTCTTCATGAGACGATGTCCAGCAGATTTCTTCCGAGTGGGAGCTGTCAGTGTTTTCGTAGATCTCATAGAGCTGATTGAGGAGATGGAGGAGGCGCGGTCACGGAACGGTGACGAAGATATTGAAGCAGTTGCTGTTACAGGTGAATTTGCAAGAAAGTTTTTTAATATCGGCGATGCTTGTCTGGGGGTCTTTACTTGTGTTGCGTTCTTTGATTGAGCCTTGGATGATGGTTGTTGCTTATCTGATGAAAATGTTGGTATAGGTACACCGATCAAGCGGATGTGACTCCAAGCTCTATCGGGCGAATGGAGTAGTACATCGCGCAGGTACTCGATTTGTGAAGCAGTATCTATATGAGTTCTTCGCACCGTCGAACCTAAACTAACGGTTGATTTATTGTCAGATGCATTGCCGGGAAGAAGCAAATCGGTTTCACTTCTGTTTGTGCTATAACTAGAAGATGCTCGACTATGAGGATAACATCCAGACAATCGGCCAATTCCGAGTCCTGTTGATCTTCCACCAAAGCAATAAGACTGCATTATTCTTTGACGATCCCATTCGATGACTGTCATTGACCACGAGACGGTATTCCATTGTTGTTTCAATTGAGTAATCTCGTCGCGCAGTATATCGAGAGCTTGTTGTATCTGTCTTGCTTCTTCGGGTATATTGTTAAAATATTCAGGATCCAGAAAGTAGTCTTCGACGTTCTGTTCATTAATTTCCGCAAACCTATCGTGCTTTTGTAAACGTCCAACTAATTCTTGTGTAAAGTAAGTTCGACTCGCTTGAAGAATCTGCATGGCCCGACGAGAACTAGCATATAAGCAAGAATTGAACGTGGCGTGTTGAAGTGCGTCAAAGAGGTTGAATGGATATAGAATACAGGAAGTAGAGCGGTATTGGGTACGTATTTGATGGGGCTGTTTCATAGGTTTAACTATGAGGATGACTCTTATGAATGGTTTCATCGTATTAGTCGCATACGATGCACCAACTATTGTAGTAGAAGCATCTTCGGCAAGTGATGAACCTCCTTCGGCCGAGTGAGCTGTTTTGCCGAGTAGGTTAACACTTTCGTCATCGCCGTTTCCGTTATTGCGAATGTAAGAGTCTGAAATAATGTTAATAGCAATGCCTTCCTCTTCACGGGTGTTGTTATTGTCACAGCCATTACTTTTGTTTTCTGCTATTACCGCGTTTTGCACCTGTTCTCCAACTTCCATATTCTCTTGGAACTCGTCGCTATGCTCCGAATCCAATCGAGAATGAGCTTCCGAGTATACTGACGGAGCAAATGCATCTGTATCAGCGCCTTGCTCAGCATTAGTTGGTTCAGATACAACAGTTTCGGATGCAAGCACAGGAGTAATTTTGTTATTTACAGCTGCCGGTACTGGCTCTTCATTAATTGGTTGGATCTCGGATTCTTGTTTTTTAGAGTGCGATGCGGGGGCGTCGTTGAATGCCAACGAACCATATGGCGCATCAACGTTATCATCCAATTCGCCCATCATGGTGAACATTTGATTCGTTTGTAGATCGAGATACAAGTCTACCGTCTGTTCGCTATAAATGTCGTTTGCGTCCCACGCCAAATTAGTGTCTGTTTGTAGTTTATGGTATGCGTCTATGAACCCCGTTTGAAACCGTCCTAAATGCGCAGACGACTGAGAGAGATCTTCTGACGCAGAAGCAACTAAATCCATGAAACTTGCTTGACTTAGACAAGTGAGTGATTTGAGCCAGCTTGCTTCTTCTGGCGTAACGTTTGCATCATCCCGGATTTTTTCGATGGGTATAAACTGCTTCCTGTCTTTCGGTACCATTACTCTTATTCCCTGTAAAGTGCTCTCGGCATAAAAGACTCCAAGGTACAGACCAGGGGATAGTTTAGATTTCCGTGAACACCATTTCTCAATGAAATTAGTCCATATAGGATGAGGATCTTTCTCGTATATTGGAGAAATTTCGGTAAAGTTTTTCCATTTAAGCGTACCTGCCTTCACGAGATCAGAAGCAATGTCATCTTTGAATGCATGAGGAACGTATTGCAATGTGACTATGAATTTTGATTTAATAGATGGCATGGAAACAACGTGCTCATGAAGAGCTCCTAACGAATCAAGCGATAGTTCATTTTTTAATTTGATGACAGCCTGACCAAAGCTCCTGTTCCACAGAGAGTCATTGTCAGTGAAATAGTATTCATCCGGATCATATGCAATGGTGTTTGTGTTGTATGAGCTTGTCGATAGAAGCGAGTCGGTATCGCTCGAGTCATCCTTGTCGAATTCAGTTGATGTAGCCCAATCGAGCGATGTGCGCAGAGCATGTGCGAATTCGTCCGAGTCGTCTTCCACATTATAAAATAATTTTCGATCTCGTACTATTTCCACTGTAGGAAATACCTTTGATCCCGACATTATCAAGACTTTGTTGTCGCTTGTAAAGAGTATGACTGACAGGTATATCGTGTCCATGTGAAAACGTCCCTTTAGACATGTCTTGGGACTGAATACGCCCCTTCTTTTCGAAGCATTCGGGCTAAGATTAGAAGACGATAATGATCTCTGTGGTAAAGAGACCAATACGAGCATTAGCATGAAAGATATTGATAAGCAGCGTGATAACAGGGGTTAAAAGTTTTCGAGACAATTAACCTTTCTTGGATGTTCTTCATTATATACAAGTTCCAAATACTCTGGTGTTTTCTTTCTGACAATTAGTGTGTCCTGTATAGAATGCGCGTTAGTCATGACTAGTCTCTCTTGATCAGCCACACGTTTGTTTCAACTTGTTTGAAATTTACCTCAGCCGGATGCGACGAAAGCAGATATGACTCGCAAAGCCAACACTGGAATAGTTTACTATACAATGCATAATTCCACGAATCGTATATCGCTAATATCTTGCATGCCTGGTTATAAAGAAATACGTTATGAGAGGGTGATAAAATGGACGTGCAACGTTTGCAGACTTGACAACCTACCCGTTCTAAAACTGCCTGTACAGATGTTCCTTGTGTGTATTCGACGTCTACAGGTTTATCACGGCCTTCAAGGCGTACTTGTATTAAACAAAAACTAAAGATTGTAGAAGAATCATGTTGCAATGAGGAGCGGAAGGACGTATTGAATAGTAGTTGACATAGTAAGAACCCATTTATAGAAATATCTCACGATTATTCTTTAGGGAATTCTATATGGTATGTTGAATTCACGATTCTTTTCTTTTCTTTTCATTTCATTTCTTTTCATTTCATTTCATTCTTGACATTCTCTATCCATAGCTTGTAATACTTACAAGTCCATTATGATTTATTTTCTTCTTCTCGTTTGATAAGATTTTAATCGAGAAGTTTAAAAGAGTGTTCGTAATGGGAAAAGAGAGTTGTTTGTCGCATAGACGATTAGTGATTGATAAATGTAAAATAAAGAGTGAATAGTAATTGACTAGATATTATTAATAAATGCAGATTAATGAAAGTAAAAAGTTGAATTATCGCAGTAAGTCTCTGGCGATAGTAAAGAGTGGGGTGAAAACCGCCGAAACAGAATGAATCGTGTATATAAACAGAATACCCAAGTGCTACCGCGGATATAATAATTTAGTGTAATAAAAGCCGATACATAATTTGAAAAAGCCTTCATATTTATTTACTATAATTAACCTGCTCTTCTCGTCTCGAGTAGTACATCTAATTTATGCACAGTGTTGTGCAATCTTTGATTCCACGCGCAAAATTGAACTGGTCACTGACTTTTCGCCTTACTGTTAACCGCCAATTTTGGCTGTGACGTTAATTATGGTAATAGTATGGGATTCTTAAAAGGATGGGAATAGTGAAACGCATCATAATGCATCTGTTGTAGAGCATTCTAATTCGATTTGGTAATTAAATGCAATGGATTTAATTAATTGTATTGTGTGTTTCGGATTGAGTCGATCAAGGGTCTGGTATTCGCAGAATGACGACGGGAGAACGAGATCAAGTACCGGGATGAACGTGACATAGTCCACAACACAACACAACACAACAAACACAATTTTGAAACACTAATTGGTAATCGTAATGCTCTTATCGTCAAACATTGTACGGATTTGTTTCGTTCTGTCTCCAGTATATAATAATCGCATACCAAATGGGGGATTCGAAAAATGGATCTTTTCTCTGCAATTCAATTTGGCATCTATAAATATACAACTATGGATGCATATCGTCAAATTGGCTGGTCTGACGATGCTTTTACGGAAGACCAGTTCTCGCATCATGCCAATCCATATGAATTGTACTATATATTAATGCATTTTCCCCCCCACGTTTCTCCAACTTCAGTAATGCACGTCAACTCTTCAATGCTAGATAAAGATTAATCATTCTTAATATGGATAACCAAATCTGATTTACTCACGTGGAGAAAATGTGAGACAAATATGGTTAGACATTAATTATTTATAGAAAAAATAATAAACAACTCATTTTATCGTCTTTATTCTTAGTAATCATATAAATCATTATATTAAAGCCGGTTCACTTTCTTGATAAACAGTGATTTCAACTGCTGCAAGCGTATCTCCTCGATTTCCTTTTTCCACTCACTCGCTTTCCATGTACAATACAAATTAACCAAGTTTTCAACATTGTCTGTATAAATACAATTGTAGTACATTCATATTGTGCGGGGAAATACCGAAACTATGAACAAGTCACAATAGAAAGTGCATCAATGCCCCATTATTATATACAATAATAGTGTATCCCTCCCCCTTTCCCATCCCCCACATTGCTCTACTATCTCCACCAAATGTATAACTTTTAGCAATCATTGGCTCACTGGACTATACAAACGTTCACTAGACTCTGGCAAACGGGTAACATACAATATCCACTCTTATTCGTTCGGCCGTGGAGTTCTTTAGGCATAGGTCGAATGCATATTGGTGCTACGTCGCACAAGTATTGTTCATATTTATAATTCACCGAGATATTGGTTATTACACAACTCGCCAGAGTTTGAACCGAACCGAACCGACTGGCCAACCAACCAACCATTCAATTCTTCCAGCAGTGTAAAGTGTCTTGATATTTGTCCTACAAATTTGCTGTTCGAAATCAAACCAAACAGCGAGAAGAACCCTCGATCAAATCGGTTTGCTCGAACGTTTCAAGCTGCCCGTTCTATCCTATCGAAATTATCGGCCAACTCAGCCGATGGCTTGCTATGGTTAGATTTATCAGATAAATGAGATTTAATTATCACGCCTTGCCGATTTTAATACTACAACGAATTGAAATCGACTACTCTCCCTAATTCTGGGTGGATTATCGATACAATTTTAGACAACAACTGTACCAAGAGCGTCAAAACAAGTTTCAGAAAAAAATTTTTTTAAATTAATGAATGGATGGTTTTTAAAGTTTGTACAATTAGTAATAAGTTTATTAAACTTAATTCCATTTGAATGGCGATTTTCCTAACAATTTATTAATCTAATGCACTGATCCGAATAAACGTAAAAATTTTGTTATTTCAACGGAACACGGACAAGTAATTGCATTGCAAGTAAAATACAGACATACAGTATAATAAATGTAATTTAATAAGGTATCTGTTATTATTATGCTATTCAAACGACCGTTCCAGCAATAAGAAGCCTTCCCATTTGAATGATAAAGCATTCGTCAACTATTCGGCAGACAAAAGCTTTTATGAGAGCTCGCCTTTAAATAGTGAGAAACTCTTGTTTGTTAGTGGACTGGACAAATTGTTTATTTATATGTATAACATAAGATACAGTCGCTTGCCAATAGTATCGCTGATCATAAAGATACATTACGGTGATACGTAGTACAGTAATTCAAGCTGGATCACTAATTAAGAAACATTAATATTAAAACGCGCGCATCAGTTAATAAAGAAATGTTCACAAAATAGTCACGATTAAAAAAACCATTAGTCATTAAACGTGCAAAAATTCTTGGAACGCCAGTTCGATGGTCTCCACATGAACAATCAAAGCTGGGTAGGTGAAAAAACCCAAAAACAACACTCCACATGATAGAGGTTATCATGCATTCTAGTCTAAATTACGGTCATATGAGTAGAACAAGAAAAAGCCCTTAACAGCAAGTTTATGATTTGTTCTCTCACGGCTGGGTGTACATGATGTAAATTGGTTAGTATAGAAAGTCGCACATTTCCCTGTGTAATACTGTAATATGTGGAGCTGCCTTTACTTGCATCATTGAGGATAGTGTCACAAGTAAATCTACTAGGACATTTTGAAGAATCGAATCGGTTACTTCAAACATGATGAGTTTCATGACAGTTTTACAGTATATTAATATCGGATGGCAATAGTCGAACACTTCCGTGGATGACTTTAAAAAAAAGTCCTGACCTTTACTCGCCAGATTGTTTATGCGACAACGTGATAATTTTGTCTAAACCCTGGATAAACTTGTTTTGTAACATTGACAGATGAGGAACACAAGGTTAAAAGAAACCATTAACAAGTTTAACAGATAGTGTGCCTCGCCATATACCAGCTGGTCATACGGTATGACCACAGCTAGCTAATGTGCCTTTATTAAATAAGCAAACATTAAACAAATTATCAACCAATAAATTCTCCTTGATTGATTATTGCATTTACCCTGTACGATTATCAGCAAAGATTACCAATACTTTTGGTGAGTGTAGCGCGAGGTCTATATTGGTGTAAATGTTTGATAATCTAAAAGGCGATACATTGGTGCAAGCGTTTGATAATCTTACCAAGAAAACTGTGAAGAAAGCGATACATAAAAGATCGTATGACTGGAATTTAGTTTAACATCGCTAGACAATAGTCTTTATTTAAAATAATGTTCTCATTAGCATTAAGAGCCATGGTATGGCTTGGACCATAACAAGCCCGATCGTTGCAACAGAACATATTTTCAGATGTGATGCATTATGACACGCTAAATGACGACCCGCTAAGCAAATTTTGGTTGTACTGCACTCTTGGATTTGAATAAAAATTAAAAGCCTTTAAAATTTCTTGATGTTATCTTTTTCGCGTGGAGTTGTTATTGCCATTTTGTCTTTATTATGAACGTTTTCATTCTTAAGGTTAAGAAGTTTTGTTTTTTTCTCTTGTTTTTTAAAAAAAACGACACTATTATGATATACTTTGCACTTATCAAAACTCTTTAATTCAGCATGAGATACGTTAATGTCGATTAAATAGGAAGCTTACGGGTTTGATAATGTAGTGGCCCGGGATTATAATACCCACTAGCGCGAGTTTGTCGTTGATTTTATGAAATTGATTTCAAAGCGTTTATTTCCGATGATCATCGTAAAATGGCTTTATGACAAAAAGCTGGAGCAACGTCCAACTGGGGGCGATGTAGGAGATGGTTAGGATGACCATCTAAATAGTGCGTGTGATTTTTATAAAAATTTTCGCTCTTATAACTATGTGCTTTATGAATTCCGTTCGTCGAGAATTCACTATGCACATTATTAACACATTACATATAAGTTTTAAGAAAACATACGATAAAGTCACAGGTTCTCTACATGGAAAAAAAAAAAGATCTGTAGCAATTATTGGGAATAGGCCCGGCAAGATATTATTATTAACCATACTGATAGCAATAATAATAATAGCATTTCTTGTGTAATAATGATTTTTTCTAAAACAAGTCTGGTCAAAAATTCGAAATAGATTTGCTTGTTCATTAGAGGTGATGATTTAATGAGACATGTCCTATAACGATAAATAGCACGTATCAAAATGGAGATTAGGTATTCTAATTGCTTATTTTAATCTTGGATCGTATTATATAAAATAAAATGGGACAATTTCAAAAACGAATACCAGTAGAAATATCCAATTTATTATTATCTTAAATCATTTAAAACTATTGACTGAACTTGATATATTTTACGTTTACAATTTTATGGCGTGACTTGCATCGCGTTATACAATAGTCGTCTCTGTGTATAGTTCTCAGATAGAATATGCTAAACGTGTTGACGCCATAATAATACCGTTTTTGTGATTGAACATTTCAAAAAACATGGGATTGAATTACAATGTATTATAATATTTTATTGTTTATTTGCCGTTACTCGTGCTTTTATCGTTTAAATTCTATCTATTATTTTGATTTACTAAATACAGACTATCAATTTTCTTTACGTCTCATCCATTTCATCATCTTCCTCTTCACTATCTTCAGCACCTTCTTGTGCATTAATTTCGAAATCTAACTCTTGATCACAACCCATAT